CCCCCAAAACCCCAAAACCCCAAAACCCCATAAGCTCTAGTGGTAATTGATTTTATATATAATAACATAACCGATATTGTTAAAGAGAAGAACTCTCTGCTCGAGACTATGTCTCAGGGCCTGGTTCTGAACTTCTAATTCGACTTAATAGGCAAATGAAGTTTCATTGAAATATTTCCTTAATACTCTACTTAGCAAGCGGTTGTATAACTTCTTATGACATGAAAGAAAGCTATATGATCAAATTATTTAAATTTCTTCTTATATCCCCTATTTTAACGTACCGTTTTCATCTATCTAGTAATTCATAAAACACTGAGAATTTTTCTACCAGATCCTTCTTTCTATAGCTATCTCAAATTTTCAGTTTTTGAAAAATTTCAAAAGTCAATCCCAACTGACTTTTTTCTTAAAACCAATTTAATTAGAATAAAAGGAAGAAGGGCGTAACTTGGTAAATCAGTTCTAGTCAAACCCTCAGAAGATTAGTATTTGTCACACTTGTATTTCGCCTATTTTGTTGCTAATAGACTTATTAGATCACTCTTTTTGGAGGCAAGAATATTATGTTCCAAATTCTCCCAGTTTCTAAACTTGAGGTATCTGGATTATATACTATATCGGGCTAAATCTAAATAATTCATTAACAAAGTTTTGGCCTCTCTGCACTTTCAGCCAGTTGGGACCAAACCAAGATGGTTTTAAGAAGTGATTAACATTGAATTATTTAGCTTTAAAATCAGCAAGGTCTTCGAAGCACTTGTTAATGACGCTTTTTAGGTTGGAATACTTGATGAACTCCTTCATATATTCCTTTCTCTTCTCTAAATGGGCAATGAGGCTTGGGGCTTGGCCAATGCTTACTCTTGTAATTCCTGTGTGTCAGATGAGCTATGTATTTCTGCTTTAGGAGAATATTTGAGCGCAAATCACTCTGGGATTTGGAGATCTGCCTTGGTGCAACCTTGGAGATTAAGCAACCACTTACTCATTTCTGATGCGATGATTTCCTTGTTCCTGATTTCACTGTTTGTGAGCCTCTTGATGATTTTATATTTGAGGTATAAAGACCAGTGAATTTGCTAGTGTGGAGCATCTTTATTCTTTTCTTAATATTCTTGATTTTTGCAAAATTTGTCTCAGTACTGGAGATAAGCAGAAGATTACTTAAAATGAGGATCTGAGGTTGCTCTGGAAGTGAGAAAACCAGAGGTAGTTTTTGAAATAGATTCCTGAGGAATGCCCTCTTTATTATTTTTATGCCTCCTTGGATCGAATCTGTTCTCAAAGAAGATATCTTCAGACTGATTGTCAAATATAGGAATTATTCAATATTTGCCAATGTCCTTAGACCCTCTGGAATGAATTGGATTTACTTCATAAGGTTGATAGACTCTGGAGCTCATGGATTGGTTAACTATGAACCCTCTATAACTGGTTATTGAGAGATTATACCCATACTTTGATAAATCTTTGTCCCAACTGTTCTCCTTATTAACTAAAATTATATTTAAAATTACTCTGGATGTTATTTTAAGTATTCATTTAAGAGAAATGAACACTACTGCTACGTCTTGAGGATTGATCAACTTTGCTCATTGTGATAAACTTCTTCTCAAAGTCTATTAAGATAACTCTAAGATCCTTACTTTTATGAGGCTCTGGATTGGAAGATTTCTGAAGATCTTGGTGATCATCATCTAGTTCCTCTGGTTCCATTCCATTTTGTTTTAGAAAGCATCTGGTAAACTACTCAATAATTATTACTACTCAGACAGAGGCTCTAGACCAATTGACTTACAATGCGATCATGATCTAATTGTTTCGGCCTATATTTATAATCATAAGTTTTCTTCTATAAACCCCTTTCACATCCAAATGGCTGTCTCCGTTCACGTACAAAAATCCCATTTGTACTGGGCCCTTTAGAGATTTTGAAGCTTATCCTTGAAGCATAGCCATGAAGAGGTTCTTAAGAAACTAGCGGGATAGGGTCTTGAAGGAGGAATTTGGAGTCAGATAGGATGGGAGTTGGGAATTTAGGAATTTAGGAAGAAGAGAGAAAATGAGTGGATTTGGGGGGATTTAAGGGGGGATTGGGGCTTACAGAGATGTAGGGGGTTGAGTGTTGCGAGGGGGTAGAGGGGTGGGTGAATTCACGCTGATGAGAGGGATGTGATTGTAACCTGAGTGTTTTTGGTGGTGAAAGGGCTTCATGATGGTGAGTTTTTTAATATTTTTATATTTTTGAGTTTGGAGTGGGGTTTTGGGGTTTTGGGGTTTTGGGG